ACTTGTAAAAATTCTTCAAATATTGTTGATATCTGCTTTGTTGGGTGTATAGATGGCGAATCACATTTCCCAGATTGTAACTTGTCTTTTCACTTTTAAAGATTTATTTTGATAAACAAAAGTTACTGATTTTAATATAGTCATTGCTTTTTTTTTTTTTGAGTTCGTGTTTTTTGTATCAAAAGAAAATTTTTCTATCTCAAAGTCTAAACTAATAGTTCTCACAGTATGGCCTGTTAGGTCCCTGGGGGTCCTTGACACCCTTTCAGGCGGGCATTGAAAATCAACCCATCTTTCAAAGAATAGTAACATATTATTTGCCTTTTTAAACTTATTATGCTGACATTTGTATGAATGGTGCAAAAGCCGTGGTATGTAAAACAAACCTGCTAGGACTTTAGCAGCAACCAAGGCCATGTGCACATCTGTCCTGTAGTCACTGTATATACTGCTCTGCGTGCTCAGTAACCAGGAAAAGAAAAGGCTCAGTGTCCTCGATGAAGGAATGTATATTGTTAATTTGGTTAAATCTTACCCTTTAAATATGTGTCTTAAATATTTTGCATTACAGAATAGGAATTGTTCCTAAAGCTTTTGCCAGATATGATGGTTGTCTAGAGCAACAACACTTGAGTGATTGAGCCATGAGCTGAATTGGATGCTTTTTCCTGGAACACCGTTTTTACTTGAAAGAATGATACACAAACTATAGTAATTCAGACTGGGATATCTGGCAGACATTTTCTCAAAAAATGGATGAAGTGAGCCTTCATCAAGGAAAACAAATAGCAGCACTTTCCGTACTTCAAGATCAGTGCCAATATTAATGTCATTTTTTGATTTTTATATAATGAGTATATTCTGCCTGAATTCTGCGTTGAGTGTACATAAGCAAATGACCGATGATTCTATGATATAAAATCTAGCACAGATCAAAGGCTTATTCAGAGACTAAGTTAGACTGAAGGATTTTAATGTAAGAAGAATGTTCACTGATGAGGATTTAGATTCTACACTGCAAACAACATTTAAGAAACCACCACTTTTTGAGTTTTGGTGTGGTGCCAAAGGAAAAAATCCAGAAGGCTATTAAAATACTTCTTCCTTTTCCTATTACATATCTGTGTGAGACTAGATTTTCTGTAATATGCTTTAATTAAAACTACCTTTTGAAACTGATCAAATGTAGAAGTGAATATGAGAATCTAGTCCAGATGTTAAAGAGAGATGCAAAAACGTAGAATGTCACCTTTCTAATTAAAACTTTTTTTGATAATTTATTTTTCACAAAAAAATGTGTTATTCATGGGCGCCTGGGTGGCTCAGATGGTTAAACGTCTGCCTGCGGCTCAGGTCATGATCCCAGGGTCCTGGGATCGAGCCCCACATCGGGCTTCTGACTCAGTGGGGAGCCTGCTTCTCCTTCTCCCTCTGTCTCTCCCCCTGCTCATGCTCTCTCTCTCTCTCTCTCTATCTGTATCTCTGTGTCTCAAATGAATAAATAAAATCTTAAAAAAAAATGTGTTATTCATGTTAACATTTGGCACTGTTTTTAAACTGAATTATAAATATCAATTTAACAATTTTAATATTTAATATAGTAAATATGGCTAGATATAGCCTACACAAATGAAAGCTCTTCGGGCTTCTGAGTATTGGGAAAGGGATCTTGAGAACCAAAGGTTTGAGAATTCCTGGCTAAGATATATTTTACTATATTTTCTAATAAGGATTTTTGGGGGTTAGTTTGCTTATTTTGATGTCACGCCTTAATTTATACATATACAGTATGCCAGTATGTAGATTGTAAATACCAAAAAAGGACACCAGACCTTTATGAAGAGTAATTAAAATTTTAAAATATGTAAAACTTCCTAGTCTATCTTTGTAACTCCTACAGATCAGCTATCTTTCATTTCACTTTTTTCTTGAGTTTTTTGGTAAGGTTGTCTATTTGGTTATTCATCCACCCATGAGACATATGAATTAAGCAAATAATAACCTTCATGTCTTTTCCCCACCTCTCTCTGTGTAGGACTACCACCTGTGGGGCTCAGGGCCCTGGGTTCCCGATCACCAGATCCCTAGCTGTCAGGCTTACTGGTCTGGCCTGGAAGGACTGGCCTGCTTATTTACCGTGTATGTCACTTACGGTTAGTTGGTGTTCAGTGGACATATGTTGATAGATACTTGCTACCCTGTGTGCTGGCACAATCCCCAGGTTTCTCTTGAAATGTTAGGAGGTGAATTGGGAGAAGTATTCATGCTACCTTATTTTGCGATTTCTTATTTGGCCCTGTGAGTATCAGATACTAACTCAAGAAATTTCCTGTGAGGTTTTAATCTTGCCAGTATACTGTCTCTGACATAATAAGTTATTAGCAAGGTTGGGGGAGAGAATTCTATTTTTATTGAATAGCTGCTCTGTGTCAGATACTAACATGTCTCCATTAGTATCTTAGCAGCTCTTTGCGGTGATAGCTTTATCATGATGTTTTATGGGTTATGGAACAGAGGAAGATCATAGAGGCAAAAGAGCTAAGAAACGTAGCTCAAGGTCACAGTAGATTCAAATTCAGCTGTTTATCTGCAAAGGGCCTGCTTTTTCTACCATATAAAATTGCCTCTATAAAAATGAGTGCCCATAATATTGACTGTTTTATGCAATGTGATTATTGCCACTGTTGTGCAAGCAAGTTAAAAGGCAGAGCAGTTCTGTACACTTTTGCATTTCCAACTTGTGTTTATGTATAAATTACAGTTTTTGGGGGCATATTCATCTCGTTAGATCAGAGAGAGATGGGATAGGTGAGAGGGTACTGGATTTGAAGCCAGATGGCTTTTTCCTTGAAGTCCCATCATTGGCCTTTATTAGCTGTGTTATCGTGTTCGAGTCAATGAACCTCCCTGGACCCTAGCTTCCTAACTGGTAAAACAGAGCCAACAATAGGAAGCATTTCCCAGTGTAATTTGGCTGCTGGAAACATCCAATTTTGATAATATATGTGCAAAGCCTTTAAAAGCAGATGGCTGTATCTATGGGGATTCGTTACTTGGAATTGTTAATTAGAAGTCCTGGATCTCGCTGTCATATAACAATTATGTAAAATACCATTAATGGTTTTCTCCTCACCACTTGACTTTTGGGGCTGCCTTTTGAGACTCTGTCTCTCTTCCTTTCCTATTAGATTGAGTCATATAAAATTGCTAGTATTTGGCTGTTTTTTTTTTTAACCTACAAAAGTGGAAATTTCATATGATTAGTACTAATATACTTAATGGTTATTAGTGAAAGTACACATGATTGGTTAACAAAAAAATCTGTTGTTGTATTATAGGGCTTATGTCAAGAAGTAAGTAAGCCTAGATCTTGGTTATGTTTTTCAAAGCAAACATTTACTTTGGATTTTATTTCTGAGACTCTTCTTGATTACACGTGGTAATCCCTGCCAGTAGTGAAATGTTGTGTGTTGAAGAAGCACTAAAGGTGAAGAAGTGTCTTCCCCTGTAATGGGCGGTCTGATATGGAAAGTCCTCTAGAATGGAAAGAGGACTAAAGATGTGTATAGAGAGGTTTTCTCCCATGAATGCTCTCTTTAAGTGGGGAAAACTGGCAAGAAAGTTGGTAGGTGGGGTGCCTGGGTGGCTTAGTCGGTTAAGCGTCTGCTTTCAGCTCAGGTCATGATCCCAGGGTCCTGGGATTGAGTCCCGCATTCAGGCTCCATGCTCAGCGGGGAGCCTGCTTCTCCCTCTCCCTCTGCCTGCCACTCCCCCTGCTTGTGCTCGCACGCTCTCTCTGTCAAATAAATAAAGTCTTAAAAAAAGTTGGTAGGTATAAAAATGAATTAAGACTTAAGAGGTTGCATTTTTTTACATTTAGAGAATCATTGGTTAAGAAGACTCATCGCTTTTTAAAAATACTAAATTTTGTGATTTTCAAGACATTTTTCCTGGCAGAGTGGAGAGGCCCTTGTGGTTGATAAATGATCCTGTCTCTCTGCCCTCTTCCAGTTACAGTGTTCTTACAGTTTCTCCAGTAGGGCTCTTAAATAACTTTTTTGCTAGGAAATATACTAGAGTGGATCCTAAGCACAAATGAAATTTTAAAATTATCTGTTAGTGTAGACTTTATGAAATTTACTATACAATTTTAGAAAAACAAACAAAAATAAGTTCCACAAGTTGTTCTTTGTCCTTGTCATCCACAAATTAAAACTAAAAAAACACTGAATACTTAATATTTAAATGTTGGTGAAGTCTCAGAGGAAGAAATCAGAAGAATCAAAGATATGAAAAGCCAAACCTAAGACATTAAAAAAAAACCAAAACTAAAATAGCAACTATGAGGCTTATTTAATTTCTGTGTCTTTCCTTTAAAAATCAATTGTGACTCACCATTAAATCCACACAAGTAGTTCAGGCGTTTAGGTTTCAGAGAAGACTTTAAATGCTTCCTTGCATGAAGTATTTTACCTTTGGTTTCAGTCTTTCCGGAGTCGGGGCCATTTGTGATCTTAAACCAAACCTATTTTGTCTTTCTTTCTTCAGCATTTCAGTTTGTTACTGACCTCCCTTAGCTCTGAGGATTACGTCATGCCCAGCTATATCGGCACTGCTTACTGCATCCCAAACTGATTTTAACCCACTATACACACACACACACACAAACACACACACAGAGAACACTGTCTTATGTTGTACAAGCAATAAGTTTACAAATTTTTAAAAAAATAGTGATTTCTTAAAGCCTAATGCATGAGCCTGTGGAAGAAAATCCTGCTCCATGCAATTAAAAGGAATATTGACAGGGAACAGTTAATTAGACTTAGTTTAGTTTTTGAATTTGGAAAAGTCAAATCTCATCTGTAAATCTGTCCCTTATCATTTAATCCATTAAAAAAAAAGAATTTAGGACAACACGAGCACAAATAGCCATTTCACATTGGAATCACAAATATTTTTTAAATATACTCTGCATTGGATGGACCTTTTTTACTTACCAGTTTTTCTAGCCTCTTATCGTCTCCGTAGGAAAGATTGGATCAGCAACTGAGTGTAACATCTGATGTTGAGGGAAATAGACTTTGCTCTCTGCTTGGGCTGCTCGTGTTGACCAGTGAGAAATGCTGCATTAGCTCTCAGACCAAAACATTTAAAGTACTCTATGAAATGTTGACATCTAGCCAAAGACTTGGATGTCAAGTACGACAGATGTCCAGTGCTCTTTCGGAGCCCAGCTCTACTATGTCCTGGTATAAATTGGATATGATTTATGCTTAGGGTTACAGATTATCAAGGCTTGACCAAACAGTGACTGGTGTGAAACTGGGTTCAGAGAGCAAGAGGAGCAACGGAGCAAATGAAAGCTCCAGCCAGCAGGAGGCTAGATCTTTCCCATGCCTAGCTGTGACCTCTTCCTGTGAAGCTGTTTTAAGAATAGCTTCTGTGTCTATTGGGAAGTATTTTCAAATTGTACTTCACATGGCTTCAACTAACTCCTTAAATCTTGTTGGAAAATGGAGAAATATTTGAGAGCATATTAGACCAGGACATTTGCCACTTCCAGTAGCAGGGGAAGAAGGGGAAAGGCTGTGCAGGTAGGCGGGTCACCTAGGGGAGTCTTGATCAGTCTTGACTGCAAGGCCAGGCTGTCTCCGTTAGACATGGGTGACTGACCACTCCATCTTGACCCAGTTCTAGGGGGTGTACTGACAGGGCCTGGGCTACTTTAGCTGTTATGTTGACACATTCCCAACCTTGAATTGGTGCTCCTGTGACTCTAATCTTTCTTCAGGTTATCCCTCCTCTTAAATCTGGCTTCTGAGCACCCTGTTTGACCCACATTTCTGGATTCCTTCCTCATTTGACATATTGTTGCTGGGACTCATTGTTCTTACACAGTACTCTGGATTAATGTTATCATAATACCTCTCTCAGGAGGAAAGGGGCCCGAGTCTCCTATATCATCAAGTTTACTCATTTTACCACTTTCTTTCCCTTTCTTTTAGGATAGTATGCTCATTATCAGTCATGCTTATCATTATCACACAAAACAAAACCCCTCAAAGCTCTTCCTTGACTTAAGCCCTTTTATCAGGTACTACTGTCTATTAGTCACCCAAGCTGTAAACCATCAAATTATCCTTCATGATCTCATCTGCTCATACCCAGTCAATCAGCAAAGCCTGATGATTTTTTTTTAAACACCTAAATATTTCTTTTTTATGATTCCCACTAAGCCCTACTCCAGTTGACTCCCCAGTGTCTGCCCTCCACTCACCCCTGAGAGGGATCCCTCTAAAGTGCAAGCATAGCCATGTCCTTTATGTGGGTCCCTGTCACCGTACAAGGTAAGTTCATCCTGTTGAATCTAGCAGACCTAGTGCTTTGTGATTTGACAGTCCTCATCTACCACTGCTTTGCCTGCAGCCTGTCCGTTGGTTTGAACTCCTTGCCAATATCAATGGTTCGTGCCTCCTGGCTTGGGCTTATGCCTTTTCCTCTGCTTAGAATATCTCCTTTCTCCTTTTTTCCTGGATCATCCCGAATTTGAACTGCTTTAAAAATTCATGGAGTCATCCTAAAAAACTAAATGTTTGGTTTCATCCTAAGGAAAAGTATCTTTGAAATTCTAGATTTCATGTGTTTATTTTTTAAAATGCACTAAAATGATGACGTTAACTATGTAGTAAATTTGTCTGAGTTCAATTTATCCTGACTATTTCTTATACCTGCAGAAGCATTGCTTTCAGATGCTGTTTGGCCCACTTACCCTCTTTTCTGTTAGCCAAAAATACTATTGATCCTTCCACCAAGCTATTCTTACATCCATCTGTTTAATCAGTCAGCTCCTATTTATTGGTCACCTTCTGTAGGCTGGTGCTGAAAGGGCCCTGGGGTATAATTGAATTCTTTACCTGTGCTCTTTAATGGTCTTCTCTTTGTTTCTCCCAACTAGATCGGGAGCTGATGAAGGCAGGGCAATATCTTGTCAGTTTTGTATCTTCAGCACCTACCATTTTTACTCACGGAATTAAAAGAACACAAAAGTAAAGATGTGTTGGTTTTGTAATTTTTTTTCTTCTAAGATTTACTTGTGTTTCATAAATGAGACCTGTAAACATTGATAAAGGGCAGAGTAAAATTTAATAGGCTTTTATTTTTGAAGGCTTATGATTTGTATGTAAAAATGAACTGATTTTATAAATATTCAATTTGATGGGGAGGAATAAGTTTGTAGTGTGGCAACTGCTACAACTTGCTCAGATACATAGAAACCTTGAGTCATATGTATATATTTTAACCAAAACCAGTACTTGGGGCTATGTGGGTCACATTTGGTTCAATTTATGATTGAAGTTTTTAAAAAAAATTTTTTTAAAGATTTTTATTTATTTTTTGTGGGAGGGAGAGAGAATCTCTACTTATTTATTTAGAGTGTGAGCAGGGTCGGAGGTGAGCGGGAGGGAGAGAGTCTCAAGCAGACTCTGCGCTGAGCGTGAGCCTGATGAAGGGCTTGATTCCATGACCCTGAGATCATGACCTTGAGCCGAAATCAAAAGGACGCTTAACTGACTAAACCACCCAAGTGCCCCAGGATTGATTTATTTATTTGAGAAAGAGAGCGCACACGAATGTGAGCGTGCAAATATGTGCTCGCATGAGTCGTGGGAGGGGCAGAGGGAGAGAACCTCAGACAGACTCCCCACTGTGCATGGAGCCTGACCCCCATTGATCTCAAACCCTGAGATGATGACCCAAGATGAAATCAAGAATTGGACACTTAACCAACTGAGTCACCCAGGCACCCCATGATTGCAGTTTTGGAAGGAACATCGATTACGTGAAAATGCCAAAGGGGGGAAAATATTTTTTTAAAGGAATTTGTCCATTTATAATGGTATTCCATTTGTAAGTTGAAGGGAGAATTGAAGGTACTTGAAACCTAAATCTCTAAGTCTATGAGTTCCATACTCTTGGGGAATTATAAGGAGAAAGTATTGGTGGAATTACTAGCACAAAGCTAAGGCCTTAGGGAAACTTGGGGTCATGACAGGCGTGACATGAGTAATGAGCTAAATCTCAGTCTGTCCTAAGCAGACACAGGAGGCATATTCTCATCAACTAGTTAATTTTAGAAACACATCACTTTTTATTTTATTTAAGTTAATCATGTCTATAGTCTTGTACTCTGACAGAAACCACTGAACTGTCCCAGGAGTCCCCCACCCGTCCCCACATTTTCCACTTGAGGCAATGACAGCATGTAATGTGCATTTTGATGTGGCTTAGACCATGTCCCATTTCCAAACACATCATCTGTTTTATTTTTTCACCTCTGGCTATGTCAGGCTGTTATTTCCTCGTCCTGAAACAGATCCTGTCTTCCATCTCTACCTGTGGAACCTCTTGTGCATCCCTTAAAATCCAGCTCAGATTCCACCGTTTATGGAGCTTTTCCTTATCTTACCACTAAGAATGAGTGAATGGTTACCTCCTCTCTGAATTCCTGTATGGCTTAATTTGAATTCTGAGTAGGCCACTTCTCAGACCTTCTACTGTGTCACAGATGGTAGTGGTTGTCTCACCTGGTTTTGGGGAAAGGTGAGTTTTTTGCCGATGTTCCCTGAGTCTGTTATTCATGGAGTCACTTGACCTGTCGGCCAGGAGGGCAGGTGATTTTTCTGCAGCTTTTGTCACCCCATATTGCCAAGGCTGTCCAGGCTGACTTCCTGTGCTTGGCACATTATTACCCTTTTGCTTAGCAATCCATAGACCTCTCGCTTTCTAAAACTCCAGCTCACTGAAAAAGGAAGGTCTTTTAGGTACAAAAAGGTGACTGTATATAATCAATGAGGCCCTCCATTATTTTTCCTTCTTTTTGTCCTAGCCTAAGCAATTTAGACAGCACTTTATGTATGTATGTGTGTATTTATTTAGTTCAAATGAAACTAATTTAAAATTTTTATCAAAGTCATGCATTTATTTGTGTACTTGAAGAAATCAAATATTTTTATAAATCTCATAATGAAAAATGACCATCCTTGATGTTTTCCTATGTCCCAGTGGCTACCTTTTTCACTTTGTAGCTATTATTTTTAGGTATTAACCCTTGTATTTTTACATAAGTGACAGTTCTTGGCTTTTAGTAGAATCTGTTGACTTCTTTGTATGGAAGATGAAGTTTCAGCTCCCTTTTCAGCACTTCTCCTCACCCAGGTAATTATGTTTACAATCTCTGGATAAATCAGTATCACTTATTCATATAATGAGAGCTATGTAAATATCATTTATGGCTGAGGCTCATCACATGCTTTGAAAGGGATTGCAATTCCTCAGGCTGCTCTAGTGACCAGGAGAAACCGTGTCCTATTGGTCTAATGGTCAGGCTTCCCTCACGATTCAGGCTGCCCATTTTCCCATTTTCAGTTAGTTAAGATATGTCAACATGCTATATAAATGTTAGCTCTCATCATCACTTCAATGTTATAATTTGAGCCAAACCTTATTTAGTCCAGTTCTTAGCTGTATGTGTATGAATACGTTTAAAAGTATTTTTGCTGGGGCGCCTGGGTGGCTTAGTCGGTTGAGGGTCGGTTGAGAGTCGGTTGAGCCTTCAGCTCAGGTCATGATCCCAGGACCCTGGGATCGCGCCCCATGTTCGGCTCTCTGCTCAGTGGGGAGCCTGCTTCTCCCTCTCCCTCTGCCTGCCGCTCTGCCTGCTTGTGTGCTCTCTCTCTGTCAGATAAATGAATAAAATCTTTAAAAAAAAAAAGTATTTTTGCCAATAGCTGCATTTAGAGAAATATGTAAAGTCCAGGTGTGCGTGAATGTATACAAGTTTTGCTGGGTGGATACTTAGTAGCGTTATAGCTCAACAGAGGAAATATCTGTGGACAGTTGCTTGTTCTTAATAATTTCCTGTTATATTTCACTGGAAAGACCTTTCACCTTATCTATTTTAGGCATTTTGTTTTTGGCACATTTTTTTTTTTTTTTTTAAATTTAAGACAGCGCATGAGCGGGAAGATCAGAGGGTGAAAGAGTCTCCAGCAGACTTTGCTTTAAGCCGTGGAGCCGGATGCAGGGCTTGATCTCACGACCCTGAGATCATGACCTGAGCCCAAACCAAGGGTTGGATGCTTAACTGAGCCCACCCACGCATCCCTTGGCAACTTATTTAGTAGTTACTGCTATCTTGGAAAAATCACGTACATAATATATACATCCTTCCAAAATTCTTCTAGTTGAAGCATATCTGCTGTGGAAAGCCTTAAGTTCTTTTCCTTTACTTTGCTGTAGTTTTTTGGTATTCCCAGAAGCCTTATTTAATGTTTGATAAGCAAGGCTCTTGGTTTTATTCATTTAAAAATAAAGACAATATTTAGAACACAAAAGCTGCTGAGTCCTAAATAGGAAGACTGGGGTTTGGCTTGTGGAGCTGAAGAGACTGTTGGGA